AAATGACCACCAGATTACTCTGCCCCCTTGGAATCATGGTAGCCCACAAACGAACACAGGACTGGCATCTGGATGGTTATAGGAATAGGAAGGATTTAGAGGGATATGCCACTACTGATGAGAATAAAGGATCCGACAACCATAATTAACAGAACCAATGTTATTTACAAGATACCATGCAGAGACTGCCAAAATCGTTACACAGGGCAAACCAGAAGGAAACTAGCCATCAGGATTCACGAGCACCAACTAGCTACCAGGAGACATGACCAACTATCACTCATTTCAATATACCCGGACAAAGAGGGACACCAATTCGACTGGAACAATGTAGCCTTCCTAGGACAAGCAGACCAAAGACACACACGAGAATTCCTGGAGGCCTGGCACTCAAATCGGAACTCCATTAACAAACATGTAGAGCTGGACCCCATATACCAACCACTAAGAAACAAATCTGGAAGTGATGCCACCCACACCAACAAACCGAGACACAAATAGCAAGCGGGACAGAACACCGACGCTTCACCGGAAGCACACTGATGACGTTACCTAGTGTTGTGGTGAAACATCTGCAAACAAACTTACCCGCTCATCGAGCAAGTCAACAACCACATTTGAAAGTCATCTGGATGGGTACATGAATAGGAAGGGTTTAGAGGGATATGGGCCAAATGGGACTAGATTTATATAGGATATCTGGTCGGCATGGACGACTTGGACCAAAGGGTGTTTCTGGGCTGTATATCTCTATGACTCAAGTGAAGGAGAGATGGCTGAGGTGAATTCATGCTAATTTTAGCTTGATACTCATTAATTCAACCTCAAGGTGGATTCCATGCCAATTTTAGCAATCATTACTAAAGGCTACAAAGATCAAATCATTCCACTTCAACACCTGTCTATTGATTCAGGGTTACTTGTATCTGCTGTACGGGTTATGTGTCTATTTTCCCTATTTTGATTATATGTTGCCTTAGAGTTGTTTTTCTCAATCAGATCTTGTGATCATAAAACTCCTATACTGCAGACAGAGGCCATTCAGCCCATTGAGTCAGCACCAACTCTCCAAACAGCATTACACCCAGACCCACTCTATCCCCGTAACCCCACATTTACTGTGGCTAACCCACCTAGCCTGCACATCTCTTGACACAACAGGACAATTTAGCAAAGCCAATTCACCTAACCTGCGTATCTTTGGACTGTGGGAGGAAACCAAACCCCACACAGACATAGGGAAAATGTACAAACTCCACACAGTTGCCCAAGACTGGAATTGAACTCAGGACCAAATCAAGGGTTTGGCGTGAGGCAGCAGTACTAACCAGTGAGTCAGTGTGCCGCCCTAAATCATTGTCATTTTTTGGATAATCTGTGGCCCTCGATCAAATTGACAAAAGACAAACTGGAATGGGACATGGAATAGCAATAGCTGGAGAACAGAAACTTTCATTTATCTAATGACCTAATGCTCAGACTAACAGTTGTAAAGTGTGTGAAAGGGAATGTTAAAATAGAGAAATTAGTATGGTACCTAAACAGCTATAGGTTTAGTCCAATTCAGTATGTAAATAGTCCAACTCGGGAAGGGGCCATACTGGACCTGGTGTTGGGGAACGAGCCTGGCCAGGTGGTTGAAGTTTCAGTAGGAGATTACTTTGGGAATAGTGATCACAATTCCCATAAGTTTTAGAGTACTCATGGACAAAAACGCGAGTGGTCCTGTGTATCAGAGATATACAGCCCAGAAACACCCTTTGGTCCAACTCGTCCATGCCGACCAGATATCCTATATAAATCTAGTTCCATTTGTCAGCGTTTGGCCCATATCCCTCTAAACCCTTCCTATTCATGTGCCCATCCAGATGACTTTTAAATGCAGTTGTTGACTTGTTCAATGAGCGGGTAAGTTTGTTTGCAGATGTTTCACCACCACAAAGTTGACAGGGTTGGATTATGAGAGACTGAGTAGACTGGGATTATACTCATTGGAATTCAGAAGAATGAGGGGAGATCTTATAGAAACACAAGGTTATGAAGGGAATAAATAAGGTGGAGGCAGGGAGGTTGTTTCCACTAGCAGGTGAAACTAGGACTACAGGGCATAGCCTCAAAATAAAGGGAAGCAGATGTAGGACTGAGGTCAGGAGGAACTTCTTCACCCAAAGGGTTGTGAATCTGTGGAATTCCCTGCCCAGTGAAGGCGTTGAAGCTACTTCGCTGAATGTGTTTAAGGCAAGGCTAGGTAGATTTTTGAACAGTAAAGGAATTAAGGGTTATGGTGAGTGGGCAGGTAAGTGGAGCTGAGTCTCAAAAAGATCAGCCATGATCTTATTAAATGGCAGGGCAGGCTCGAGGGGCCAGATGGCCTACTGCTGCTCCTAGTTCTTATGTCCCAAAGGAAGAGTGCTAAATTGGGGGAAGGCCAACTAAAGCAAAATTGGGCAGGAGCTGGGGAATGTGGATTGGGAGCAGCCGTTTGAGGGTAAATCCACATTTGATATGTGGGAGGCTTTTAAAGAGAGGTTGATTAGAGTGCAGGACAGACATGTCCCTGTGAAAATGAGGGATAGAAAGGGCAAGATTAGGGAACCATGGATGACAGGTGAAATTGTGAGACTAGCAAAGAGGAAAAAGGAAACATACATAAGGGCTAGGCGACTGAAAACAGATGAAGCTTTGGAAGAGAAAATGAGTGAGATTCTTAATGAGTACTTTGCGTCGGTATTCACAGAGGAGAGGGACATGACGGATGTTGAGGTTACGGATAGATGTTTGATTACTCTAGGTCAAGTCGGCATAAGGGTGGAGACACAGGTGGGGTATTCTAAAAGCATTAGGGTGGACAAGTCCCCAGGTCTGGATGGGATGTATCCCAGGTTACTGAGGGAAGCAAGAGAGGAAATAGCTGGGGCCTTAACAGATATCTTTGCAGCATCCTTGAGCATGGGTGAGGTCCTGGAGGACTGGAGAATTGCTAATGTTGTCCCCTTGTTTAAGAAGGGTAGCAAGGATAATCCAGGTAATTATAGACCAGTGAGCCTGACATCAGTGGTAGGGAAGCTGCTGGAGAAGATACTGAGGGATAGGATCTATTTGCATTTGGAAGAAAATGGGCTTATTAGTGATAGGCAGCATGGTTTTGTGCAGGGAAGGTCATGTCTTACCAACTTGATAGAATTCTTTGAGGAAGAAGTGACAAAGTTGATAGATAAGGGAAGGGCTGTAGATGTCATATACATGGACTTCAGTAAGGTGTTTGATAAAGGTTCCCCATGGTAGGCTGATGGAGAAAGTGAAGTCGCATGGGGTCCAGGGTGTACTAGCTAGATGGATAGAGAACTGGCTGGGCAACAGGAGACAGAGTTGTAGTGGAAGGGAGTTTCTCAAAATGGAGAACTGTGACCACTGGTGTTCCACAGGGATCCGTGTTGGGACCACTGTTGTTTGTGATATACATAAATGAT